ATGGCTTAGGTGGTAGGCGTGGCTTGGTGGTCATGTCACTGGGTGGGCATGGCTTGGTGGTCATGTTATTGGCTGGGTGTGGCCAACTCAATATCACTCACATTGAGGCACGCATCTCCTCGCCTGGCCTCTCATGACTGTGGGGATGCTGCAACAGTCGTAAGTGTGAAAAACAGTCATAAGTCACTTTTTTCAGTGCCATTGTAACTTTGAATGGTCACTCCACACAAGCAAAGTACCAGCAAAGGAGGGGGGGAAACCAGAGAAGTTCCTGGGACAGGAAGTCTAGTCCTGCCAAGAATGTAATAAGGGTTAATGGGGAAGCAGTTTCTGTAACACCAGAATGTTTCCTTCCTGCCTTCCTTACAGGATTAGGCCAGTAATTTCTTCTAACAACCGGTTCTCTGAACTGCTTAGAATGTTAACAACCGGTTCTAGCGAATAGGTGCGAACTGGTAGAATCCAACCCCTGCCCCTTCCTCATGTGTTCTGATTATATTTGGCTGACAGAGTTCACCTTATCAGTCTCTCAGTTCAGTCCATTTGCTTTACCAAAGCTCTGCTGTTGTACATAATATATCATGTCAATCAAATTTCACCTCTTTTCTTCCTTCTTCTATTCCACTTCAAGTTCTCTCCTGAACCCAACACTTTTTCATTCACAAGCCACAAGGCAAAATGGAAAGATTGACTAAAATGATCCTTGAGCAGAAGTGAAAATGGTCTTGTGGCTCAAATTTGGGAAGACCTCCTGAAAACCAGAGTTTCTTAATCTAATTCAAGTATACCTTTTAAGAAACAAACTTTTCCTTTCATTTGAGGGGGCCACTGTGTTCCAGTTCAGACCAGCCTGCAAGGATAAACTTTTTAATTTTTTATTTTTATATATTCCCTCAGGTGAGGGTAAGTTCTATAGCTGAGCCCAACCGCATTCCTCTCATGGCTGAGATTCCTAGCAATCCCAGAATAGAAGAAACAAAGCTGTGGTAATTTCTGGCTGCAAAGAAGAGCAGTTAACTCTTGATTAGACTAAACATCTTGATGATAAGAATGATGTAATTTGTTTGTTAAAACATTTGGTTTTAGCCAATAAATTTGGGTCACTTGTGGCTGCTTTTGGGGAGAAGTCTGGAAATGAAATTGTTCAAATGACTTATTCTGCAGTTATCATCAATACAATCAATGATAGCATCATTTTTCCATGATGTGATCTCTATTCTATGGAAGAAACTGTAGTGATGCAAAGCTTTGTCCTAAACTGGAATTCTAATACCAGGAACATATCATCAAATTTTCAGAAATATTCCTTCCTCTTGCAAAAGGTTCCAGTGTTCCAGGATTTTGTTTTAATTGTCCTTTTGAGCTGACTTTTTATTGCAAGGAGGTGGAAAATTAATCTGCAGCTTCTTTCCTTCTTGCACATTTTTCTTTCTCTCCCTTCCTCTTGGTTCTTTTATTATGCCTTCACTTAGAACTGAGTTCAAGACACAGACTAAATAGGTATATATACTCCTTGGATAACTGCTGGTCATTTTATGACATTCAAAATTAATATAGCAATAGCATTTAGACTTATATACCGCTTCACTATACTTGACAGTCCTCTCTAAGTGGTTTACAGAGTTATCATATTGCCTCCAACAATCTCATTATCAATCTCACCCTAAACCTCATTTTACTTACTTAGCATGGAAGGCTGAATCATCCTTGAGCCAGTGAGAATTGAACTGCTGGCAGTCGGCAGAATTAGCCTGCAATATTGTATTCTAACTACTGTACCACCCTGGCTCTTTGATCATGGGCAGCCTGTAAAGCACCCCAGTTTTGTAAATGTTTGCATGCCTCCCCCAGTCATGTAACTATATGTTAGAAAAGTCATTTTTAAGGCTAGTCATAGTATCCCACAATCACTTGACCATGATTTGCATTGTTCAAATGTATGTATTATTTAACAACTGCAACATTTACTGAACAACTGCTGCTAAAAAAGCTGTAAAATTAATTCTGCCTTGACTTATGACCATAACAGCTTACAATGTAATTATGGGCTCAATTATGGTTGTAAATTGAGGACTACTTGTAGATGGAGAGATTATTTTAGCTTAAGGACAGGGCATGTTAAAATTTTACAAAAGCTATTAGCCACTTTGAATGGAGGGGGGAAAAACCTCTACCCATCTGTGAGAACTCAACTAAATCTGAAAACAGAAGGAACTATTTCTTTTCCATCAAACCAGTGAGAATAGCTGAGAAGAAATGAAAAAGGTTTTGGGGTGGAGTCATCATTGAAAATTGTGCAAGTTTATTTTTGTGCTCCAGCAGTGGAAAAATATAGGAATAAAATTATTATACTTAGATATTTTTCCTAGAGTTCTAGCTAGCAAAATTATAGCTAAAGTAACATTCCAGGATGACCAAACATGACAAGGAAGCATAAATCCATATGCTCAAGACTAGATAATTGAAAGCAGCTAATTTCTGTTAGTTAAAACTAAACTCTTTCGACTATCTATTGCAAATTCTCTCCTGGCCTACATGATAAGCTTTGAAAACTGCCTTTGTACTACAGTATAAAGTTGTTCAATGAATAACAATATAAGCAAGATTTTCTTGGGCACGGCATTCAAGATTTTCTATGGTATGTTTTCCTTGTGAAAAATCAACTCAACACTCTCCCTATTAAATAGTGATTTTTCTCACTGGCTTTTACTGGATGTGCTTTTTTATTTTTTCAGTGGCTGTTTTTAACTCTGTGGCCCTTAATACTGTGTTTTTTTAATGGCTTAATTTGTCAGTCCTGCACCTTTTGCATGTTTAACTCCTTAGCTTTTGGTAAAGTAGTGGAATATTGAAAAAAAAATTAACAATAGCAATAGCATTAAAAATAAAAACATCATTGAAAGTAATTTTTTATTGCTGCAACAGAAATTTAATGTTTACTCAATATATACATAAGCAGGAAATGAATAATTTCATCATTTGGCTATCCAGGCACAACTAAAATTGTATCAAACAGTCTAAATTATTTCATGTTCTTCAAATTTGGATTATATCTAGTGACTATTATGTTGGCATAATACTTTTTAAAATTCCTATATTTAAGGCAGTATTTAATATTCAAGGATTATGATTTATGATTGTCTTATGATTTATGAAATATCACTTTGTTATTTGTATGTACACTGAGAGCTTATGCATTGGAGACAAATTCCTTGTGTGTCCAATCATACATTCTATTTATGAGATGAAAAAAATTATGTGGATTTCCATAATTAAGTGCTTAAATTCTATCACTGAACTATTGCAAATTGCATCACATATGATTATGGTTTGTTCATTAAAGGACTATTATATAAATTAATGATCAGGGTATAGTTATACAAATGTTAAATACATACTGTTTGGAATAAATAACATTATTAACACATTTTTTTCAACAAATGCATAGGAATGGTCACAAAAATACATGGACATTGAGAAATACAAGTATATAGTCTGATACTGATACCTGCAGGAGGAATGTGGGTGTCTATGGCATTGAATAGATTAGCATGCCTGACCTGTAGATGTTCAGGATGGATACTATGGTGCAGTGGCTGAGGTATACCAGAGTTAAGCAGATTCAGGTCCTTTGTCAGTCATGGAAGCTTGGGTTACTTTGGAGCAGTCACCAATCCTCAACCAAACTACTGGAAAATATGTGTGCAAACTAAGTTCTTTGCATACTTCAAGAAAAACTAAAAATACATAAATACAGTATTCAGGCATAAACTATATAATAAGTTTGTTTTTAGATAAATAGTTAAAGAGGCCATATTCACAATGGAAATACTTCATAGTATTCATATAGGCAACTCTCAGTGAGATTTCATATCAATACAACTAGAAATGATTTGCTAATTTTGGTTTAAGTTTATATTCAATACATTGTTTGTTTGTTGTATGAAGACCTGCTCCTGCCCCTTTCTGAATTCCATCGGGTGCGGGTGTGTAGACGACATGTCTGGCTTCCTCAGTTTAGGCAACTCTTCCCGACAGAGATGCAAGATGCTCCCTCTTCTTGCCTTTTTATAAAAAGGTTTTATTTCATCCTAATTTTGTTAAGAAAGCCAGCTTGGTGTAGTAGCTAAAGCACTTGGCTAGAAATTGGGAGACTGTGTGTTCTAGACCTGTTTTATGTATGAATCCAGCTGGAGACTTTGGGCCATTCCTTTCTCTCAGTCCTAAGAAGGAGGCAGTGGCAAATCACTTCCAAACCTTGCCTAGAAAACTGCAGGGTCTGTCCACACAGTCATACAGAGTCAAAGCTGACTCAAAGGCCTGCGTGTACTTTAATGCAAACTGATGAAGAATGCCATGTTGTTGTTGTTGTTGTTGTTATTGTTGTTGTTGTATAGGAAATTAGAAAGGGACGGTGCAAAACAATGCAAGATGAATAAATAAATCATTTATTTGAACAGGGATTTGAAAACTATGACTAGATGGCTGTATGCAACCAGCACCATGATTGTAGTTTCTTTCAGACTAACCATAACCAGGAGGAGAGAAAATTTGGCTTGGGCATGGTGGATGGGGAGAGGGGCATTTAGGGGCAAATAGGTTAATCCTTTAATGTCCCAACTTGTCTCATAAATCAGGCACGTGGCCTTAGTTCTGTTTACCACCCAGAAATTCAATATAATGAGTCCCATCTGTCTCTTGCTCCTATTGCATTTTAAACTTTTCTCATGTTGTTTGTCTGTTTAGATAAAGAAATAGCAAAAGCACTTAGACTTATATACCACTTTACAGTGCTTTACAGCCCTCTCTAAGTGGTTTACAGAGTCAGCATATTGCCCCCAACAATCTTGCATTTCATTTTACTGACCTTGGAAAGATGGAAGGCTGAGTCAATCTTGAGCCTAGTGATATTCTAACTGCAAATTGCAGTCAGCCAGCAGTCAGCAGAAGTAGCCTGCAGTACTACATTCTAATCACTGTGCCACCATGGCTCTTATCTCTTATCTTATATTAGGTTGGCGATGGGCACTTCCATATTGGCGATGGGCACTTCCATATTGCCACTCAAAATAAGGAGCAAAAATCATTGCCCCATCTACATTCCCACAAGTCTCATAATTCTTTATAAAGTTCCTCATTCCACTTTATGCACAATGAAATAAGATTAACTGCTTGTATGTTTCTACCATTCATTGTTTTATGTTGTTGTTATGTTGTGTGCATTTGTCTAAAGCATTGTTTGAAGGAATTTGTGGAAGAAGGTGTGTTTGAGGGTGCCAAAAGCATCAATTTCTGCAAAGTGAAACTCTGGGGTAGGAAAGGGGAAATTGGAGTTCCTGCAAATGGATAGCTCCCACAATCTCTCTGCAATTACTCTTTTAATGGCTAGTTTTACTATGATTTTGAGTATGTTGCTGCTGGGTCAGGTCGCAGCTCTTCAATAGGGTCAATATTGTGGCATCTCGGAGGTCTTGAGTTGCTTTTGAACTGAATATATATGGAACTGTCCAGTTCTCTTGACAACTAAATCATTTGTGAGTTTTTCTTAATTGAATTTTATTCATTGATTTGAGAACCATTCTCCCCTGACACATTTCACATTTCAATTTTATTCATTCTGTTTTTCAATTGTAAAGAATTATTAAACATTTAGCAAACTGCCCCCTCTAAATCTGAGTGGCAAAAGAGTTCTCCATTTTTTAAACTTTCATTTCTTTTTCAGAATCCACTGAAATACCACCTCAAAATTATTTTATTTATGCTTGTTTCTTTGAATTTTTTTTCAGTTAAATCAATGTTTCTGTATCATCCCTATTTTCCTTTCTGTGTCTCAGCTGCATGCCTTCCACATCTTGCTGAAATTTATTAGGCTAATGCCATAAAATAAGTCCCTTTCCAGTAATCATCTTATTTTTAATTAGCTTAAATATTTACTTACATATATAGTTTATTGCCCATAGGCAATATCAAAGTGTAGAGTTCCAAACACAAAGTATTGCTAAAATCTGATAAAAACAATTTCGATTGGAATAAAATACAATTTAAAAATGAAATTGGAATAAAATACAATAACTTAATATATAGATAAATAAAATAAAATTATATTTCATTATCACCCCTACAATCTACCCCAATCAGTCCCACATAGACTGATATCAACTGAACCATTTTACTCACTTATTGTGCTAGTGGTGGGATTCAAGTTTTTTTACTACCGATTCTGTGGGCATGGCTTGGTGGGCATGGCAGGGGAGGGATACTGTAAAATCTCCAGTTGGAGGTGGTATTTGCTGGTTCTCCAGACAACTCAAAATTTCCGCTGCTGGTTATCCAGAACTGGTCAGAACCTGCTGAATACCACCCTTGTACTGTGTCCTATTAAATGTTGTTTTCAAATTTTGACTGCATATAATGTAAGTTGTTTTAATATGGGGTTCACAATAGGCCATTTATTTAATATATGGGCCAGGGGACCTGTCTCTCACTCTCTTATGCAGGCAACAGTCAAATAGGATATGAGCCAGATCTTCTATCTCTGCCACTCCACAAATGCAGAGACATCCATTATAGGGTATAGAATGGAATCTCCCATATCTGACCATTGTGTCAAGCTATACGAATCTCGCTTGTGTAAATACAGGTGAAACTTGAAAAATTAGAATATCGTGCAAAAGTTCATTTATTTCAGTAATGCAACTTAAAAGGTGAAACTAATATATGAAATAGACTCATTACATGCAAAGCAAGATAGTTCAAGCCATGATGTGTCATAATTGTGATGATTGTGGCTTACAGCTCATGAAAATCCCAAATCCACAATCTCAGAAAATTAGAATATTGTGAAAAGGTTCAATATTCTAGGCTCAAAGTGTCCCACTCTAATCAGCTAATTATGCCATAACACCTGCAAAGGGTTCCTGAGCCTTTAAATGGTCTCTCAGTCAGGTTCAGTAGGAATCACAATCATGGGAAAGACTGCTGACCTGACAGTTGTGCAGAAAACCATCATTGACACCCCCCATAAGGAGGGAAAGCCTCAAAAGGTAATTGCAAACAAAGTTGAATGTTCCCAAAGTGCTGTATCAAAGCACATTAATAGAAAGTTATGTGGAAGGGAAAAGTGTGGAAGAAAAAGGTGCACAAGCAGCAGGAATGACCGCAGCCTGGAGAGGATTGTCAGGAAAAGGCCATTCAAAAGTGTTGGGGACTTTCACAAGGAGTGGACTGAGGCTGGAGTCAGTGCATCAACAGCCACCACATACAGACGGATCCTGGACATGGGCTTCAAATGTCGTATTCCTCTTGTCAAGCCACTCCTTGTTATGTCTGGGAGAGTGGGCGCAAGAACGGAGACGAGGCATCGAATAGTGACTCCAACTCTTTATTAGTGACTTCAGAACAGAGCGAAATACTCAGGCAGCAGCAGCTCCTTTTATAGAGCTGGCTGCTGTCAAAACATCCAATGATTTGAGTTTGCCGCGCTTGGGGCGTCCAATCGCGGCGACCCGTTAACTAGCCAATCGGATTA